AGACTCCAAGGGCAACAGAGTGAGATAGAGTCTCTAAAAAAAGATTAAAAAAAAAAGTGGGCGGGGGGAGATTTGGGTACAGAGGTAGACATGCCCAGGGGAAGCTGATATGAAGACAAAAGGAGAATGTCTGGGCCTTAAGTATTTAGGAGAGGAGGGTGGACAGGGGTTTGTGCCTGTAATCCCAGCACTTTGGGATGCCAACTAAGTCCAGAAGTTTGAAACCAGCCTGGACAATGTAGCAAGACCCTGCCTCTATCAAAATAAAGAAAAGAATTTAGGAGGGAGACATGAGATAGACTCTCCCTTACAGTCTTCAGAAGGGACCAACCTTGCCAACACCTTGATTTTTAACTTCTAGCCTCCCTAACTGTGAAACAATAAATTCAGTTGTTTAGGCCATTCAGCTGTGATACTCCTTTACAGCAGCATCAGGAAACTAATATAGGCACTGACTTTATAACTCGTTCTTGCTGTGTTTTGAAATTTCTGAGAATGTATAAATTTAACAATTTACCTGTACACATTGGAAGGCTATAACACATTCTTTCAGAAAAAGGAAAACAGGCAGTTTTACATCCTCTCGTTCCTGAATAAGTCACACATGCTATCATACTTTCCCAGAAAGAAGAGACTCTGTGAGTAGAGAGCATGAAAGACACCCAGAGCTGACGCTGGAGGAAGCTGAAGACAGAGCTTGCAATAGCTGAGAACTGGGGGAAAAGCAATCAGAAAACATCTTCCTGCAGGAACACAAAATACCTGAATGGATGAAAAACGATTCCCTAAGAAGACAACTGGCAGAGAAAAGAAGATTTCAGACCACAAAGAAGAGAAACTTTCTCCCCCGCCCGCCCCCAAAGATGGATGTAAGTTTTAAAAGGGGAGGAAATCTACCAGCAGAAGTTGAAAATTAATCAGGGAAAGAGACATCTTCATCAAAGCCATTGCATTTTTTAAATTTGATCTTCTCATGGAAATACCCTTAAAATTGACATTCACAGATATCTGTTCATAAATGCAAATGTTCAGTAGGTTCTCACTGATCATGGAGCTCCCATCCCACTGTCTAACCAGCAGCACACAGCAGCACACAACCCACCACACCGTCAGGACTCACTGCTGCGCCTGGTGGCTGCAGGCACCCACTGGAGAGGCCAACCAGCACCTGGGCGGCCCTAGTCAGAAACACCCAGCACACAGGACTGAGCAGGATCAGCCTTGAGAATCTTTCAGGGAGACAGGAACATATGGTAAGAAATACACTGGGAAGAAGGACATGTTTATTTTCAAGAATGGCTCAACTATGCAAATACAGCTTCTCAAAAAGAGAGGAAAAAAAGAATTGTTTTTCTTATTGGTGCAGTGAGTTGTTCAGAACCCAAGCAATGATCATGACAAGACAATTGAACACCTCACTAAAGTCTACATATTTTACTCTCTATGTAAAAACATAGTAGTTTTCAGCAGGACATTTATTAGAAGCCCATGGGATAACGTCTAGTACAGGAACCACACAAAGGAACATTCCCCAACCTGACTCAGGGCACCCACGGCTATGCTACACCAGCCTGAGTCTTCCATTTTTTTTGAACAGATACTCCTGGTTGACTAGAGAGAAAAGAGATAGAAGGAAACACAGGGACACAGGACCGACCACTGTCGGTGACCTCACACACATATCTTTAACCCCCACTCCAAATACAGCCATGACTTGATTCTGTGATGAGTCGGGAAGAGATGAATAGAAGCAAAGGGCACCTCACCTCAGCACCCACACAGGCTGGGACATGCTACAGTGTTTGGAGCCAAAAAAATTTTTTTTAAAGTAACTGATGGAAAAGGATATTTCTCAAAAATCCACACCATTTGTACAAACTTCAAGTCAGGGAAAAACAATATCAGAGTCATTCATACTTCATCACAAGTATCTCCAATTTTGCCAAATTCTCTCCCATCAAGCACAGAAAGAAAGAAAATGCATCCATGAAAGAGAAGGGTGGAGGCATGAAACTGAGGCCCCTTTACACAAGTCAGATGGTGGTGTGCAACATTACCCTTTGGTAAATATATTTTTAATAAAACCTTTTCAGTGTAGAGAGATCACAAGCTTTCTAAGAAGTCAAAATCCAGAACTGTTGATTGAGTCTGAGAGACTGAAACCCAGGACAGAAAGCAGAGCACCAAGTGCCAGTTCAGACAGTGTGCATGTAACACACTGCTAAAAGGTACTCTCTTAAGAGGTGAATATATTATTTGGACAAGAAGGTGTAAACTATTAAGAATTTTTAATTATGCAAGAGATACACGAATATACTGCTATTGGATTTAGTGTTTTTATTTTGAGGTGCATCTTTCCAATATTAAAAACATGTACATACACACACATGTACATAGGTAGGTGTATGTATATGTGCACACACTCAGAAACAGTTGTGCATGTGTGTTTTTATACATGGTTTCCATAAATAATGCATGTTCAAGATCTATCCATGCCGACACTGTAACCAAACAATAATTTGAAATATTCATCTCTGTGGGTACTTCTGCCATCCCACCACTGCACTAATGTCTCCTACTGAGTCAGAGATCTCCAAATTGACTAGAGAAGAATATTAAAGAGAAAAAGATTGTGTGTATTTTCTACTTGAGAATCAAATAGGAAGGCTTCACAGAGAGCAAGGCAAGCACAGAATTTATGCCACAACAATGGACAGAGAGAGACTAGAAAGAAAGGTGACATTATAGCTTCCCCCAAACCTTCACAGTGTGACCGTCAAAGAATAAGGGGGCAAGGCTTTAAGAATCTGACACACAGTCACAAGCCTGAAAGTTTCTGGAAGCCAGGGAGACGATCTAAGTGTTTGAAGTGGGATGAACGGCACGTGCCAAACACATGGTTAGTGCTGAGGACACAGCAGGGGTGGTGTGGGCCAGGGCAAGCTGGGAGGGGTCCTAGGGAGAGAGCAGTGCCACTCGGCTGCACCTCAGCACCATGGGAAAATGGGAGTGAGCTGTCAAATGTTACCATTCTTAAAGAGAAATAGGAAAAAACTGATATTTTTATGTATAAAACTCTTGATTTTAAACTGTTGACTGTTTAAAATCCAAAGTTTCAAAAGCAAAACGAAACACTGCAGCCCACCATCAGGCTGGTCACACTGCAGGCTGCATTTACAGCTTAGGGCCCATTGGGCTGGTCAAACTGCAGGCCACCCTGGGGCTGGTCACACTGCAGGCTGCATTTACAGCTTAGGACCCATTGGGCTGGTCAAACTGCAGGCCACCCTGGGGCTGGTCACACTGCAGGCTGCATTTACATCTGAGGATTGCGGATCAGCTAGTAACTCTCAGCCATCTTCAGACATATTCCTCTGCTGACACATTCATGTCTCAATTAAACATTCTTTGACAAATGAGCATGTGGACACAGACAGTTCTTTTGAAAATCTTGAGGGGTTTTTCCCTCCCCTACGTGAAGGTATTACTAGATTATGTCTATTTTCTGACTTCCCGTTTACATTTGTCTCTTTCCATTTTAAAGACTTCTTTGAAGTTTTTCTTTTATTAAATCATAAACACATAGATCATGTATACATTAATATATTTATGGGGTAGAATGTGCTGATGTCATATAGACTTAGGAACACTTACATCACAGTGGTAATGTACACCTCATCTTGTTTAATTATTGTGTTAAGACATTTATTCTCTACACTAATAGATATAGATCCGACATGTACCCTTGCAGTATGCACCATAGGTGTGATGGAATGAGTTTATAAAAAGGAATAGGGCAAAACCACTCACTGAACTATCTTTTTCTTTTCATTTCTAGGCCATTTTCAAATTTATCAGAAGAGTTTCAGATTGTGTCACCTTGGAAAGACAAGATGTCCCAAGAGTCGCCCCTGGAGTTACTATACATAGGGAAAATGGGGAATCATAGCTAAATTTGCCTTTAATTACGCAGTATTCATTACCAAATTTTACGAAAAGGTAGCCAATATGTGGAATATTTTGTAAATATTTTGTAAAATTTTGCAATGAATATTTTGTAAGTAAGGGTACATTTAGCTATGGTTTCCCATTTTCCCTATGTGTGGCAACTTAGGGATGACTTTTGGGGCACCTGTATACACTTCATGTCCTCTGAGTGACCCAGAGAGGGGATACAGGCTGGTGGTTCCAGGGAAGAAGAGTTCTACAGGCACCCTGTGACAGGTGTCCATCATAAAACATCTGGGGAAGAGACTCTGCTCTTGAACCAGCTCCGGGTGGAAGTAACCATCCCTTAAAAATAACGATCTTAAAGGAGGGTGAGGAATGAGCCTGTGCCCTCTCTTTTTTCCTTTGCAAGGAGAGGACCTGCAGTGGCACAATTCTGGTTTAGGATACGGTATGTTTGGTCATTAGCCATTTTCACCAAACTCCTTCCAGAGGTTAAAACTAAATGTAGCTACTTGGGAAACTGAGTAAGGAGGGCGGCTTGAGCCCAGGAGTTTGAGGCCGTCAGGGGACACCATTGGCCCTGGGAAGAGCGTGCACTCCAACTTTGGTGACACAGAGAGGTGTTATCTCTTTAAAAACAAAACAAAACTAAACACAGCAAATAGAGATTACAAATACAAAATTCCATCTTTCCTTGATAAAAGTGAAGTTTGTTTGTTAACTATCAGGGTTTAGGAGCAGAAACATGAGAATAATGAATACTTTTAGGAGTAAATTTCCCAGACGGAAGGGTTAATGAGACATGAGCTATCTAAAAATGATGGGTGGGTGATAACCTCCTGCTAAGCAAATCTACTGTTTCTAAACAATTTAAGTTTTTTTTTTTTCCCCCAGTTTTGGCCAGGGCTGGACTTGAACCCACCACCCCTGGTATATGGGGCCGGCACCCTACTCCTTGAGCCACAGGCATGGCCCACAAATCTATGGTTTTTAAAAGCAAGATGTTCTGAGCTTCAGATTTGTGAAGTTTCTGAAGAGGCTCATCCTACCTTGAAGATGAAATCAGCCGTCAGAGGTCCTGGAATCTTGAAGGTTTGCCTCTCTGAACCCTTCTGAAATTCAACTGTTGTGTTTTCTATAACAAAGACTCCAGCGTTGTTAAAACTGTGTTCACCTTTGCTTCCTTGCAGTGTTTTTGATTCAATAACTAAAATTTAAAGATGAAATCCAAATAAGAAACTATAGTAAAGACCTCTTATTTCAAAAGACACTGCAAAAGTATAGTATCAGTATATGATATCAAATGCAATATCAAAATATTCACTCTGTTTTCAAATATTGATTCAATTTGGTAGAATAGATATGCAAGGCAGTAGGTCCCAATGCTTAATTATTTAGGGCTATTTCTATCATTAGGGAAAATAGAAAAGTTTTCTTTCTTTGTACTACCTTTTCATGATGTAACTAATACTCAAAGTAAAACTATGTTTACTCACTTTATTATCTGTTTAGAAGTCTTTAGACAAAACCACAGTGAATCTCACATTTACATTTTTTAAACAAAACTTTTTACTTTGAAATAATTATAGATTCACAGAAAGTTGCAAAAATAGTTGAGTTCCCGTGTAAGCTTTATTGAGTTTTTTTGGTTGTTGTTGTTAAAATGGTAAATTTTATATTATGGAAAATTTACCATAATAATAATGAAATAATCATAAGGATATTTTGTTTTCTCCAAACTGTAACATGTTCAAATCAAGAACTTCTGAAATTAAAATAAACAAACAAACAAAAAACAACAACAACGCCCCCCCCTCCCCCGCCAAGTCCAGCAACTAAAAAATCACAAAACTCTCTGGGATCAGCATAAATATCATATCAAATGTATCATCAAAATTGTCTTGGGCAGATACTGGAGCACATTTGAGCAAACCTGTTTCACACTCAGTCCATTTGGCTGGTTCCTCCCTGAAACCCATGGGCATGGGGTTGGGGGGCCAAGGGACGGCACTAAGAGATATTGAGTCAGGGAGCTGAGTGCCCGAAAAGACCCCATCTTAAACAGGTAGATCCTGGTGCCTCTTCTTCAATTTGTAGGGGTTGAGTATCCTTATCCAAAATCTAAAATGCTCCAAAACCCAAAACTTTGAGGGTATTGACATGCTCAAAAGACATGCAGTTTCATCCCACAGTTATAGCTCAGGTATCCAGAGCACAAGGTCAAAACCAGGAAATTGGCACTGATACAATGTGTGTGGACTTTAATGCATTTATCATACACCATCACAATCAAAATAGGAAACCAGTCCACTGCCACAAAGGCCTCCCCATCCCTGCTACCCCTTTATTCGTATTTGCTTTTATATGAACAGAAGTGCTTTTAAGATCTTCTACAGAAAAAAATGTTTGTCCCCAGTTTGAACAAAATAGCCTTTCTACTTAATTTCTTCCTTTCTTCTTCCCTTCTTTTCTTTCTTTTATTTTGTTAGTGTCACCATACTTCGACTTGGTCTGAGGCTGAGAGGCAATAAGAAACACACAGTCAGGGGTTTGGGTGCCCACGTTTCTGCTCCGGCTTTCTCTGCTGGCTGCCTAGAGTTTTCATTGCTTCACTTCTAAAATGAAGAGTCAGAAGGGACAATATCTCTGGGCCAAATCTACCCTGAAATCTACTCTTGATTTAATGGTATTGTATCAATCATTAGCAATCTCAAGCAAAGGACACAACAGAACCAAGACTCCATTCAGTTCCAAACTTAAAAATGGAAAGCTGATTAAAACGTGACAAAATGGCCTGGTATTAGGGAGCTTTACCCAAATGCTGCCCGGCCAGGGTAATTTTCATTTGCTGGATTTTCTCTCTGCCACTGGAGCAGCTACAGAAATTCAAACGCCATGGACAGACGGCATAACAGGCATTAGGCGACACCCTGATTATCCCTGACAGGCAGGCGGGGAACTTTTCTGGGAAAATTCAAAGGCTGGACAAGAGCTTCTTGATCTGGAGGAATCATTAGTGGTTGAAGAATAATGCTGGCTATTTTCAGGCACACAAAACCCCAACCACTTTGGCCCTGATCTTCATGACCGCAGTAGATTTTTGGAAAGTGTGAGATTAAATTCATTTCCTAGCTCCAATGAAGATATAAAACTGAGTGCTATAAAGTGAGTTGTCAGGAAAAATGTGATGGGGAACTGGAGATAGTAAGTGGGCCCTATGAATTCTAAAGGAAGGATAAAAAACAATGAGTATTAAAGGAACAGCAAAACACAAACTGAAGTTGAGCATAATCCATCTGTAGAAGCCATGCAAAACACCATCAGGTTTTTAGACTGAGATTTAGGCTGAAAGGAGTTGATTAAATTCACACAGTGTGATGGACTCCACGGCTGTGTTGGGTAGTAATTGCTTTACCACTGGGCTAACCTTCTGGATCATAGCTTTCCAAGTTTCATCAGGATGACGAGTCGGGGTAGGGGCTGTAAGAATCTGGGAAGGCAATTGGGGAGGAAGGGAAGACCAGTTGCTATGACATCCAGCCCCTAAACCAAAGGCCAGCATTTCTGTTACTTTGGTTTTGGAGTTTGTTTTGTTCCACTATTTCTACAGTGACAAGGATATAAAAATGCATGTAGCAAAAACAATTTCAAGGGCAATGTAAATTACCCAAACCTCTCTTCTTCTCCACCAAACTCTATGTTTATTGTAAAATATCTTTATTTCGTTTATTTCAACAGGCTTCCAGTTCTCTAGAGCACAAACACTGGTAGCATATCTCGTAGGCAGAATGCAGGTGCTTTGGCCTCAACTGTGTAAATGAGTGGCTGGGAGAATAAAGCCTGTGAAGCGACGTGATGAGAGCAGAGGGTACGGATGCAGACAGTTCTGATACTTAGGATTAACAAAGCCATTATGCTCAGTCCACAGAGAGGTGTAGGCCAGTGCAGATCTTCAAAGTTGTCATTTTCATTGATGGCAAACTTGCTTCTTCTTAGTGCCTGCACTGCTTAAAATAAATGACAGAAAAGGCGTCTGTGGTTTTCCAATCAGCAATCTAGATGATGACCCATTCATATCTTCATTGACTTTTCCTTAATTTCTGTCATCTCCATCTCTTCCCTGCAGCCCATGTTGGAACACGTGGCTAGTGGGAGCCATGCACACTGGCCCTTCAGCTCTCGGAGCTCTCACAGCCCCTCTGTGGTTGCTGCAGCAAAGTGGGCAGTGCTCGGGAGAGCCCAGGACGCCTAAAACCCTAACACCACTATTAATGGAAAAAAGTATCAACCTTCCTCCTATGTGCCCATGGCTCATATTCTTTCTCCTCTCCAGGCTTAATATTCGAGAGCAGAAGGGGAGATGGGAGGAGAGGGAAGCAGAGGCAGTGCCGGGGAAGATATGATAGGTATCCTCGAAAGGGGTGAAAAATGGAATCAGAAAGGAAGGCCTTCTTGTGTCCCCAACTCTAGTCCCCAGTGAAGCCCTGAAATATTTCAATCCATACTAGTTATTTTTAAAAGAAACAATGGCTAGAAAGGTGATGAATGCATCTAATTCCTTCTCATTGACACACTGAGAAGCATCAGTGCAGGCTTCTTTCAAAACAGGCAGGGTCATGGTAACCATCCCTGAAAGGCCTTCTTAAATCCTGAATGCTGCGGAAATACTGTCAGGCAGATGTGGAAGGAGCACCCAGCACAGCGGAGGGGTGAACACACACAAAACCTGCCCTGGAGGCAGAACCGCCCTCCATAGCACTGCGCTGTCTCACTCAGCATCCATCCCACACACTGCCCACATCTATATTTACATATCTCCGCATATGGTCATCAGGCAGGACGTAGAGGAAAAAGTATTCTTCCAAATGAAATGGAGGTTTCCAGTTTACGGTATCTTGGCTTCTCAAGTTTATTACTAGTCAAACACATTTAATGCTGAAGTTTGGCTACAGTGAAATGTCTTTTGCAGGGATCCTCATTACTGGAGGGATAGTTAATATGGATGTTAAAAGAATGATTTATTACTACAAAATAAGCTTCATTCCAAAAATATCATTTTTGCAAATAAAAATTAAGAAAGCAATTGTATAGAGTAAGAAAATAAAGCTGCTTATATATTCAGATATTCAGAAATGTTAACCAAATCCTTTGTAAATGAAGCAAGCTCTCTTCATCAGCAAGGAAGGATAGCTTTTAGAAACATGTCTAGTGCCAACTGTGACATTGTTCATAAGGGGGGTGTTCCAAGTAATGGACCTGTTTCACGTTCAGAGAAACAGGAAAATTTTTGAGCACTGTTCTTGAAAGAGTGCCAGTCTTGAGTGTAAAGTCATGCTGAATACCTCTGAGTATATACACATGTAAATGAATTTTTGCCTCAAAGTATTTGTCTTTACTTACTCTGTTCACTACTTATTCTCATTTTATGACTTAAAAAAACCCAATTTTTTGAGATGAATTTTGGAGAATTGCTTTTAATATAAGACTATCAAACACTTTTTGATATACAACTCATATGCAATAAACGTCATTTAAAATGTATAATTTAATGGTTTCAGTAATATACACAGAGTGAAGCTATGATTATAATCTAAGCTTAGAACATTTTTTCTCAACCCCAAAAGAAACTCCATACCCATTAGTCAGGCAATCACCAATCTATAGATGACACAGTTCTGATGGACTGTTCCAAATTGCTTCACAGGGTGGGCCAGGTGCTGGTGTCAGGGCAATACTTCGAAGGCAGCTGTAGTAGTACTCAACAACGAGGGATGTAGCACTTTCTCCAGGACAAGTTTATGAACTTAATTGTCAGGCCTCATATACCATGCAGCCTTATATGACTGGCTTCTTCCACTGAGTGTAATGTTTTGCAGGATCATTCCTGTAGTAGCCTAAATCAGTATTTTATCCCTTTTCATAGCCAAGTAATATTTTACATCAGTCACATATTATTATTATTCACTCAGCATTTGGATGGACTTTAGAGCGGTTTCCACTTGGTGGCTATTATGAATAATGCTGCTATGAATATTCAGCACCTCACAGTTCTGAATCCAAGATGATATTCTACAATGTAATTACTTGAGTGATTCACAAAATCTGGATTTGAATGATTCTTACCTGTTTCCAAAAATCAAATTTGTACTTGTCAGGATAAAGATTTGTTCTCATCCAGAGTTTTGAAGCCATTTAAAAGAGAAATTCAAAAATGTTTTGATGCTTCACTACAAATAAAACCTTGAATGAAGTGATCATTATAAGGCTGTAAATCTTTTGGTAATTAAAAAAATCAGTCATTCTTTTACCTATGATTTACTAGCATAGGGTAAAGGGCGCTTTGAATAACCGTGCACCTTCACATGGAGACACTCTCTTGCTTCCCTAATTTGGATCACAATGTACTATAGCTTTTCTTTTTTTTCCCCAAAATTTTAATTTTAAGGTAACCTTAAATATTTTTATTTAAACATTTTGCTATAAACTTTTCTCAAAGGACATTTTATTGCTGAATTAATAATTCTGGATCCAAAGGACATACACACATGTGCATGTGCACACACACACACACACACACTCTACTTATTTAAAAGCTACCAAAAATGTGAGATGCTTCTGGCTCTGAGAAATTCTTATGATTTCTACATTTAAAATGATAGCTCAGGAAAAATAAAATGCAAATATGTAGAACTTTGATTCAGTGGACCTTGATTTGAGGGTCAGTCTGACAGAGATCCATTTTCCTTTTAGTATAACTAAGAAAGTCCTGTCTGTGGGCTACAAGTAGACCTGGGGAGAGAGGAAAACTTGGGCTGTCCCAGTTCATTTACCATCCCCCCTCCAGAAGAGGATTAATCTCAAACAGGTATACTTTCCATTATAGCATGAGAACAGAAAAATTCACAGATAATTTCCCTGGTGATCTAGCCCATTTCAGAAAGTGAGAAAAATCCCTGCGATATTTATCTTCTTACCCATTTACTCATTGAAACGTTTTTCTTTTTTTGGTTGGTTTCTTTGGTGTTTTTAGCTAATTCAGGAAATTTAAAAATGTTAAGGTTCACTTTCACTTACAGAGGTGGGCAGGTCCTTTCACTGTAATTCTCACACTTCGACTTCCCAAAGGAACAGCAATTACATTTTCCTCTCCTAGGAAAGAACAGGAGACAAATGTATGATAGCAAAACTCATGTACTAAAGAACCTCAACAATTTCTTGTAACAGTCAAGAACTCTTCAGAAAGCACTTGTGTAAGACAGATGAATGGTACTCACATAATTTCATTTAAATACATTCTTAAATAACATTAAAGAAAGATTTAAAATAAATTCACCAGCCTGCCACCTGCCCTGCCTTCATTCCCTGGGCTTCCCACAAGCTTTGATGAGGCTCTGCAAACTCTGACCCTCAGGCCTAGCCTGGCCACACCCGTTCAGCTAGGGCTGTTTTTGCTCTACAAAGACGAGTTTAGTAATAATGGAAACCATACGGTTCACAAAGTCTAAAATATTTACTGTAACCCTTCACAGAAAAGTTTCACAATCCTGGGCCTGAATAATAACCCAGTAGAAATCCTGGTCCTTGTGGATGGTTTTTCATGCTGTTACATATTCTGATAAGCTAATTTTTATACCCATATAATAATCTAAACTCATATATGAAAATTTACCCCATTATCCCCTATCTGAACATTGTCTGTTTCTAAATAATCCTAAAATATTATCGGTGATACGAATTATGTGGAGCAGATGATATGTTTTGTTTAGAGAGAGTAATTTTTTTGGATAAACTTTCCAGAGTGAAACTGGTGAAGTAAAGGATGTTCATATATTTGTTGAGTAATTTTTAAATTGTTTTTAAAAAATAAAAATAAATATTTACTATTGAAAATTACAAAATGCAGATAAACAAGACAACAAAATAAAACTATTTCTGATCCTATTTCCCAAAGAACATCACTTCTTTCTAACACTTTGATGAGTGTCCTTCCCAGATTTTTTGTTTGCTATGTATATATACTCAGGGTGTCCATACAGTTTGTGGTTTAAATTACATACGAACTTTATGGCCACCTTGTATACACACACACATATGAAAGGAAACAATGAGCTCTACCTAAATGTCTGTCAACACAGGAGAGATTAAATAAACAAGTGTCTCAGTATTAAGGAATACTCGGGCACGGCGCCTGTGGCTCAAGTGGCTAAGGCATCAGCCACATACACCTAAGGTGGCGGGTTCGAATCCAGCCTGGGCCCACCAAAACAACAATGATGGCTGCAACCAAAAAATAGCTGGGCATTGTGGCAGGTGCCTGTGGTCCCAGCTACTTGGGAGGCTGAGGCAGGAGAATCTTGAGCCCAGGAGTTGGAGGTTGCTGTGAGCTGTGATGTCACGACACTCTACCCAGGGGGATAGCTTGAGGCTCTGTCTCAAAAAAAAAAAAATTAAGGAATACTCAGCAACTGACAAAAGTAATGATAAAGGCTCAGCGCCTATAGCACAGAGGTTACGACACCAGCTATATACACTGAGGCTGGCGGGTTCGAACCCAGCCTGGGACAGTTAAACAACGAGTCAACTGCAACAAAAAATAACCAGGCATTGTGGCAGGAGCCTGTAATCCCAGTTACTTTGGGAGGCTGAGGCAAGAGTTAGGGTTAACCCTAACCCTAACCCTTAAGCCCAAAAGTCTGAGATTGCTGTGAGCTGTGATGCCATAGCGCTCTACCAAGGGTGATAAAGCGTAACTCTGTCTCAAAAAAAAAAAACAAAAACAAAAAAAATCCCCCAAAAAAACAACAACAAAAAAACAAAAGTAATGATAAAAAGCTACATGACCTGATGTGGAAAGACTGCCTATATATATGCAGGGTGGCCATGAAGTTCATGTGCAATTTAAAATGAATATGCAAATTGCATACAAATGTTATGGCTACTGAATGATGACTTTAAAAAACAACAATGATATGGGCAATGATTTCTTGGGTATGACACCAAAAACAAAGGAGAACTGCAAAAAGATAAATTAGACTACATCAAAATTAGACTTCTCTGTACAAAGAAAACTATCAACATTAATGAAAAGGCAAGGCATGGAATGAGAGAAAATATCTGCAACTCACACATTGGAAAAGGTGTCACTATCTAGAATATATGAACAACTTCTCCAACTCAACAATAAACACCAATGAACCCAATTTAAAAAACAGACAAAGGATTTGAATAGACATTTCTCCAAAACGGATATACAAATTCCCTATAAACATGCTCAAATAAACATGCTAATTATTAGGCATATGGAAATCAAAACCACAGTGAGATATCACTTCACATCCATTAGGATGGCAACTATAAAAAATAACAAAACAAACAGAAAATACAAGTGCTGGCAAGGATGTGGAGAAACTGGAACCCTTATGAACTGCTGGTGGATCTGTAAAATGGTACAGCTACTCTGAAAAACAGCATTTCCTCAAAATGTTAAAACATAGAATTACCACTAATCCAGTGAATCTACTCTGGATTTATTTAGACCCCAAAGAGCTAAAAGCAAGGACACAAACAGATACGGGTACACTCCTGATCACAGCAGCATTAAACACAATGGCTAAATGGTAGAAGTGCCCCGAGTGCCCACCCATGGATGAACTGATAAAGACCACAAGGTATAGACCTACAATGGAATAGTAGTATTCAGCCCTGAAAAGGAAGGACGTTCTGACACCTACCACAATGTAGACGCACTCTGACAACACTGTGCTAAGTGAAATAAGCCGAATACTGTGTGATTTCTCTTATATGAAATACTGAGAGCAGGCAAGTTCTTAGAAACAGAGAGCAGAATAGGAGTTGCCAGGGGCTGAGGAGAGTGGGAAATGGGGAGTTATTGTTTAATGGGTACAAAGCTTCTGTTTTACAAGATGAAAAACACTCTGAAGATGATGGTGGTGATGGTTGCCCCAAAACGTGAATGTACACTTAAAAATGGTTCAAATGGTAAATTTAAAAAACTCACATGATAATTCATATGGCCTAACTCCATCAAAGAAGTATAGGCATTTGCACATTGCTTCCTCATGTGTGTGTAATTTATAGCAATAAATACATGTATTGCATTAGACAGTGTGTAAATGCATACATGAAATTGTACACATAAAATAGTGTACATGTACAGTACTGTGTTTTTGCTTACTAGTAATAAAAGATAGCAATAAAAGAGTGGGATTAAATAGTTAAATCCTTCCCATGCATGGAAGGGTTTTCACCAATTGTTCATAGTGTTTACTTCTGGGGTGGAAAGTGAGAATTGGGAGGTGAGTGTGAGAATGTAGTTTTATATTTTTTGACTTCTCTGTAATGGAAATATACTGATGAGTTACTTAAATAAAATTGCTAAAATTTTTTTTTTCTTTTCAAAAAGAAGAGGAAAGGAGAAAGAAAATAAAGGACCAGGGCCAAGAAGTTTTGCTGCAAGCGTTTTGCAAAACCTTAAGGAAACAGGTAAGTTACAGACAATAGGAAGAATCAAAGGCTCCAGTTAGGGCTGAGCAACCGACATGACTCTGATACCCAAATAAAACACAGAGCACAAAAATAAATGTGGGAGCCAACTTTAGTTATGACTGTGGACAGAAAATGCTAAATACAACAAAGAAAAGCAATTTTAGATTTCTACCAAAGGATCACACAACTTGACTAAATATATTTTAAAAGCGAATGATTACCCGTGGTGCATAATGCAAGAGTACTTGTCAGATTTATTAAGTATAGAGTATAAATGTCTTAACACAATAATCAAGTAAATGAGATGAGGTTTATATTAACCAGTGTGATGTAAACACTCCTAATTCTAATATGAAATCAGCACATTGTACCCCATACATGCATTAATGCATTTATGATTTAATAAAAAAATAAAAATGAGTAACTGATCCAACATTAGAAGCTGTATTAATATAATGTCTTATATTGACAGATCAAAGAAAGTAAGCAGTATGATCATTTCAATGAATATACAAAGCTGTCTGTTAAGATTCCTATTAAAGCCAGGATAGAAGAAAACATCCTCCATTTGATAAAGAATATCAGCCATGGCAGACTCAGCTGTGAAATATGAGAATCATTCCCATGTCAAGACAGGAACAAATAAAGGATTATCCTCACTGTTATTTTCTCACACTGTTCTGGAGATCCTCATTAATGTAGTCGGAAAATAAATAACTGACAGAAACATATCCTGGAAAGAAAAGATTAGAAAATACCACTATTTGTAGATCATGTGGCTTAAAAATTCAGAAAGAAAGGAAGTTATTACAATACAAAAAGTTCAGGAAGTATTCTGACAGGAAACAAACTTCTTTCCCAACTTTTAATTAACATTTAATTATATATATTAAGTGACATTTCATATATACTTAATATATTACTATATAACACTTTAATATACACATACAGTATTGCACACATGTGTGTATATATCACACACACATAAATATAAAATAGGTACCCTAATATTTATTCCCTAGTAGCCTCTTAAAAATAAAAAATAATTAGCTAACTCAGCATCAGTGAGCCTTATTTGCACTGATACGGTGCCTCCATACACAATTTCCCACTAAAAATGACCAGGGTTTCTTAGAAAGATGAGTCAACCTAAGTTTGGGTCAGAAAGTGAACAAAATAATACTGGAACCTTAGAGCACAACAAAAGCAAAGAAGCTCTCAAAGACAACTGGAGTCATGTCAAAGAACTTGGAGTCACATGAAGAGTCCCAACCTGGGCAGAGATGTTAACAGGGCAGAGATTACTAATGGACTTTAGTAATAATTATCGAAATGGAGTAAATCACATGACATATATTTAAAATCATAAGCTTATAATAATACTTGAAAAAAATCATATTTTGCAGATGCTAGCAACCAGCTCATTATTTTGAAAACTTAAAAAGAAAAGGATAATGGGAAATTCATTTCAGGGGAACTAAATAGTTGATGAGGATAAGTTTCTCTTTATAGAAATGTCCCAGCCTGTAATGAAGGGCTGACAGAGCATCATCATGTAGACACTGAGCTTCAGTGGCTACAGCATCACAAGAAGAGGGAAAGCCGTGCTGTCCTGTGCCTCCTGTCCTGACACAGTAGGGAGT